GTCGATATTTGCTTCAAAACTTTTTTTGCGCTTAATTTAAACTATCCAAAAGAATCTAACCATATTTGGCAATTTATCCAACAATTTTTATATGAAATTACAACCAAAACTGACAAGAATTATCAGTCAGTGAATCTTATTATTAACGATTTAAAAAAATTGAAAGTGTAATATTATATTTAATAAGGTACTAAACTATTTTGTTTTCATTTTATACTACATTTAATAATTAAAGATGCCGCAGTGTTATAAATGTTTTTTAATTATTAACACTTTTGATCAATTATTTTTACATATTAAAGTGTATCATCCACATGACACTACCCCTTTTAAATGTCTTGAGATTAATTGTCATCGAGTCTTTGATTCTCTTAAATCATTTAAAAAACACACAAGAGTCCATTCTAATAATCCTATAAACATTCATTGTGTTTCTACATTTTCACCAAACCAACCAACTAATTCTGTTCAGCCTGTTGAAATAGAACCAAATATTTTTCCAGCTGTTGAAATTTCAACTAAAAACAATCAAATTGAAGATTTTGAATTGAGTGTATATAACAAAGCTTTGTGTTTGTTATCAAAATGGTATGGTGAATCTGGAGTACCTCGAAATAAAATTCAATTAATTATTGATGATTTCACTGATTTTATCAACGATTTTTTACCACAATTTAAAAATGAAGTATTAAATACATTAACTAAATTTCAACCACCTGGTGGTGACATTATTTTATCTAATATTTCTTCAATGTTTGATGTGATGTGTAATCCTTTTAAAAATTTAAAAACTGAGCATAAGCGTTTTAAAGTATTAGATGAGATGGGCATGTTAATTAGACCTAAAACAATTCATGTTGGAAATCGAATGAATGATAAACTACAAAATGGATGTGTAATTGCAGAAAATATACCAATTAATATATATAGTGTACCGTTGCCTATTTTATTTAAAAGGTTTTTTGAATTACCTAATGTTTATAATACTATGATAACATATACAAACAAATTACTAAAAGATACAAATATTGTATATAATTATATTCAAAGTGAATCATGGAGAGAAAAAATTGAATTATATCCAAATAAAACGCTATTTCCCTTTTTATTATACTTTGACGAGTTTGAAACAAATAATCCACTTGGGTCCCACAGAGGAGTTCAAAAATTAGGAGCAGTTTATATATCTATGCCCTCATTTCCTCCAGAGCTTATATCAAAACTTGAAAGTATATTTTTAGTACTTCTTTTTAATTCAATAGATAAAAAACAAGTTGGAAATACAGAAATATTTAAAAATTTAATTTCTGAGATTAAAGACTTAGAAGAAAATGGCATAGAAGTGTTTATTAATGATGAGTCAATTAAGGTGTATTTCTGTTTAGCTTTAATTGTTGGGGATAACTTAGGATTACATGGTATGATGGGATTTTCTGAAAGTTTTGTTGCAAATTACCCCTGTAGGTTTTGCCTGTGTTCGAAAACTGTTTGTCATAAACAATTGTTTCAAATTGATAATGAACTACGGAATACTGAAAATTATGAGATTGACGTTAATACAGAAAACATGTCTGAGACTGGTATTGTCGAACGAAGTATTTGGAATACCATACCTTCTTTTCATGTAGTGAATAATTACTCGGTTGATCTGATGCATGACATATTAGAAGGTGTATGTGGTTATGATATTTTCAGTATTTTGAGGCATTTCATTTTTGTAATGAAATACTTTACTTTAGAAACTTTGAATCATAGAATTAAATTTTTCAATTATGGTTCCACTGATATCAGAAATAGACCTCCCTTATTGTTAGAAAATACATTAAAAAGTAATTCAAACACAATAAAAATGTCAGCAAGTGAAATGTGGAATTTTGTTCGTTACTTAGGACTATTAATTGGTGATTTAGTTGATGTAGAGTCTGAATATTGGTGCTTGTATATTTTACTTAAAAAAATATTAGATATAGTTACATCTAATTGCATTGGACCTGAATGTCCTTCTTTGCTTGAATTATTAATATCAGAGCATAATGATTTATATTTAAAACTTACAAAACTCAATTTAAAACCAAAATTTCATCATTTAATACACTATCCAATGGTTATGCGAAAAGTTGGACCCTTAATTAATATTTGGTCCATGCGATTTGAAGCAAAGCATAAAGAATCTAAAACAGCAGCAGCTGCAATTTCAAGCAGAAAAAATATCTGTTACACATTGGTTTTAAAAAGTCAACTTAAAATGTCTCATCAATTTTATCATAAAACAAATTTTGATTTTTCAAATTTGTCTCATGTTGGAAAAGTTTTAAATATCACATCAACTATAAAAGAAAATCTGTCTATTACTTTAAATAATCCTGATATTTATAAATCACAGTTTGTTTCATGGATTAATTTTAAGGGTACTCGATATACAAATAATAACATGTGTATTGTTATTGATATGTGTGATGAAACAAATTCTTTGCCAGTATATGGTTCATTGAAATATCTTTGCGTATCCTCAGATATGCAACCTTTAACCATATGTATGCTTTTTGAAACTGTTGGATTCGATGACCGTTTTCAAGCTTATTGTGTTAAGAAAACGTCAACTATGATATCGATCCAATTTAATGAAATACCTTATATAAGACCAACATTTGTATGTATTAAAAATAATTCTTGTTTTATACCATAAAATATACAATCATATATTTTACTTTTTTATTATTTAAAGTGTATAATATATTAATATACCTACTATTGCTTTTAGTTATGTATATATATATATTATATAATCTGTGTAAATCTTGTTTTAAATAAATTGTTTATTGTTGAAAAAATATGTTTTGTTTATAACTTGATTTCAATGCTCACACCTAATCGGCCGTTTGTTTTGAGGAGGGTGTATATTAAAAAATTACGACCTGCAGGCTTCAAAAAGAAAAATACATAACTGTTACTTTTTAGAAAAATCTGAATCTACTATAAATAACAGTAGTTACTGGGGTTATATGGTTTGTTTGTAGTAACTATACAACAAGTTAAAAACTACTATACAACATAGTCACAAAACAACTAAGTAAGAAGTTTGTGTAACCATAATAATAAGTATTTAGTACTGAATATTAATAGTAGCAATAGCTATATCAATAATGCTCACAACTAAACGACTTAGTTATAATCAACTAAACGAATTAGTTATTATCAACTAAACGACTTAGTTATAATCAACTAAACTACAGGGGTTAGGTTTAACTTAATTGAAATGGTACTTACAACATATTGAATAGCTGTCGCTATGTTAACGCTAATTTAGGGGCTATGATAACCAAATAAATAGGTGTAGTAACAATTTTTTTTTTCCGTGTACATCGATATATTATGAGCCAAACCCCGTAAAAATTCTAAGACACTCCTATTTGATATATCTTTATATACCGTCATTATTCTTTTCTCTCTGTCAATTATTTGTTTTTTCTGTTTCGGTTTTGGTTCTCCACGATTAATGCATTCAATTTCCAAGTCAACTCGTTGTTGTTCTTTCTGAAGCTCCTCTATCATTGTATAGACTCCAACATGAGGTTTTCCAACCAAAGTTGACCAACGTCGATGCCAAGCTTCGACAATATTTTGTGTCCTAGGAATTCCGTGGTCCATTAATTCTGACACAGACCAAAGTTTGGGCGGAAAAAGTGGGTCTGTGCGTATAATATTACCATTTCTTTGGTTTCGGCGACGAATCCGGCCATGTACATAATTGTCTTCAAACCATTGGACAACTTCTTCAGCTTCAGGAGGAAATGTCGCTTTAAGTTCATCAAATGCTGCAGGTATATTTTCAGATGGAATAAAAGCCAGGGCAAGCATTTGTCTTATTTTTAAACTAAACTCTTCGTTTGTACCATATAAATTCACCAAGCCAGATGATTGAATTTTTCTCCAAGTACTTTGAGATAAATGAAAAAAACATGCCTTGTTTTTCACGTTAGGAAACTCAGCTTTTGATGCCTTTATTGCCGCCTGTTCAAAATCTGTCATTATCCAATATGGATTTAGTTGCCCGCCATTATCTTCGCAAAAATCAATTAAGTCTTGAAAAAGACGTATATACAGGGTTTCAGATTTTGATGACATTAAAGCATATGCTAGTGGCAAAACTCGAAAATTGTCTCCTCCTACAGGTGCGTGTATGGTATATAGCTGTCTAAATATTGTCGGGACTGTCCAAAACGTACCATCCATAATTAAATAACGAGCATGCGACAGCCGTTGAACATTATTTTTAGTACAAAATAGTAGAAGTTTTTCATCATTAATGGTTGAATCTTTAATTAAAAATAACTCCTCGCCAATTGTAGTTCTCAGTGAATCGGGAATTGTTAGATCTTCTAATGATTGAGGTTGCGATGGCGTATTTTCCCTTCTAACACGCTTTATTTGTTGCCGTAGAGCATTTCTATTCGGCATGTATGGATGAGCAGTACTTGGCATATTTGTAACGCAACTTTGAATAATTTGGCAGGGTTGGTCATTGGTATTTCGTGCTTGATCTTTTAAATGGCTAAGAGTAGTACATACATCAACCCTAGCTGCTTCAGGTGCGTGATTATGATCAGAACATTTACGTAATAAATGTTTTTCGTTGATAAGTATAGTGGTTGCACGTCCTATGAATGAAACGCAAAAATTAAAAATAATTTTTAATTATTACTTCTATTGTTATTATTATTTATATTAAAATGTGAGTTAAAATATCGAGTCCACTGAAATTTGTTCATTTATCAATTAACATAATAGTATGTCCCAAATGAAACTTATTAATTATTATACATATATTTTTTGGATAAACGGTACCACACAATGACAATGTACACGAAATAATAACGTACACGGTACACGTCAATCACCTTATTTCATATCGCAATTTAACGGCACGGTAATATCGATAAGGAATGTTGACACCCATAAACGTCTTTAACGTATATAATGTCAAATACCCACGAATAATATTTTTAAATTTCAACAAATTAACTAAAATCGTTATAAATTTACAAAAATTGTTACGAATATAGGTGTTGTGTGTATTTTGTTTAAAGAGCAAAAATATAGATTTTTACGAGAAATGGCCAGTGGTAATGTGTCATTGAGGTGTACCAAAAAAAAAAATGTTATGTATCATAATTTATGATTTATTAATTTTATAACATAATATAATTTTTATAATAGCAATTTTCAAATAACTATTTATATAAAATAATATTAATATAATATAGTATACATATAATATCATTTTTATAAGATATATCAATTTTGAAAAACTACTTATATAAAATATTTATTTTGGCGCAAATGATATGTCATTTTCGTACCTTTGGCGCTTATGTCATATAACCAATTTATTAATTTGTCTTTCCGGTTAATGAAATAATAACTTACCTGTGCAGGCCATTAGTTTTTTTTTTTCGCAGCACCAATAATATATGTCCTCTCGTTTCTTGTCTTTTGTCATTAAATATCCCTTGACACATATTTTGGCATTTCCTTTTTGAGATGGGATAATTTGACATACTTCACTCATAATTAAAAAACTCCTTACTTATATTTAAAACAAAGGTACTATACAATTAACACGCAAAAATACGTTTGTTCATTTGAAATGTTCAATCGTTCACTGAGACTTGGGACAAGTAATTGAGCGTTTTAGATAATATAGGTACTAAATTAAACTTTTATAAGATAAGATAAAATTATTTTATTTTGTCGATATTTTGAACTGTCGGTATTTTGAACTGTCGGTATTTTGAACTGTCGGTATTTTGAACTGTCGGTATTTTAGACTGCCGGGATTTTGGTTTCGGGCTTTTGACCATTCGGGATTATCATTGTCGGGATTTTGAACGCCTCCCATTTTCTGTTTTACTCTAATTAGTTTACATAGCTTTGTGTTGTTCGCTGACAATGCTTGGACTACATCATTACTTATGCAATGTTACTGAATACGAGTAGGTATTTTGAGTATCATCAACTTTTTATTTTATAGTTTCTTTATACATATACTAGTTGTAAGTGAAACTCGGGGGCCTGTTGACTCACTGAAAGTGGGTACCGATTTTGGGGTCAGTGTCTTAATAATTATAAAAGTTGGAGGAGGTGGTAACGATTTTAGATAAAGCTTGGGGCTTTGGCGGGAATGTTTAAAAGTGTCAGCTTCTAGCAACGTTCTCTATTGTTGTAAATTGATAATTGAACGATCACCTGTCGTCTGTCTGGTGCTTTTTTGTTTGTAAAAATGTATGAAAAAGTGTAATTCGATTGTCTAGGTATTAGTCATCAGTCATGGTGTAAGTCGATAACTGACTAAGCAAACCCCCTAAGGCTCGGGAAACTCGGGGGCTTGTGAGACTCGGTGATGGAGACGACAGTGTCATTGAAATGACTTATAGAAGTCACTCCTGTTGATGTCATGGGTGGTTAAAAAACAAAAAATTAGAAGGTGATAAGAATTTTTAATAAAGTTTGGAGGTCTTTTTTTGAGAGGGGGAATGTTTAAAACTCCAGTTTCAGTGTCTAGAAATCTCACTTCACCCACGAAAATCGGCAATTGTACTTGTACAATACGGTTCCGCGTCGCATGTCCGGTGCTTTTTCGGATGTAAAAAAATGTAAATTCGAAATCTGTGTTGGAATGTCTAGCAAGTTCGTAACCTCTAGCGAAAAATAGATTAACATTCAAGTAAGTTACCTAGGTAAGCAATCTGACTTCTTCGGGTCGCAGACAATGTGCAACAACTAATCAGCTAAGCATGTTCGGCGTCTATGAGTGAAACTCAACTAATTGGTTGTATTTACCTACATTATACACGCATAATGTATAGAAAATGAAGATCGCATGTAGAATTGTATTTGGCATGATAGACCAAAGATATTCTAATCATACGGATAGATGGTAGTATAAGTAACGTCCACTATTTTTGTAATTATTTCATAATGTAAGCACCACGAAGATTATGTTGACAGTAATAATGCAGATAACAATGAAATAATCATTGAAACTTTTAAAAATTACGTAAAAAACGGCGAAAAAAAATGAAAAAATCTGGGTGTCCATGCTACAGCATGATCTACCGTGTTAGAGACAACAGCAATTTATCTGTTCGTTCTCACCTACCCTACGAATTTTACGATGTGTGTACCTAACTATATAATTAAGATATAGGCGCATGAATATATTAGCAATGTACTTATAACCTTACTTATTCAATTTATAGGGTATTAATTATGAAATCCGACGTTAAATCATAACATTGAGCATTAATGGTTAGGTTAAAATATTGTCTTTTATTTATTATTATGTATTTTTGAGAAAAAAAATAAAAAAATAAAAAAAATACTTCACTCTACTTCACTGTATTTTTCTGAGAAATTCCTCATCTAAAATTCTAGTTATAACATACAATATATTATATATTAGTAAAATATATGATTGTTTTTATCCATAGTGTGACATGCAAGTTTTGAAGACTTTTAATAATAAACCACTGCTTCATAGATCGAATGGTATTAAAATATTTTGTATACAATTTATCTTTTGGAGAATTCATCAAACAAAATATTTATCCTATAAAAAATCACAAAAAAAATTTATTTATTTAATGGGTTTATTATTAGCTACTTAAGACTTATATTATTACCTTGATTTCAGAATGAAAAGTTCCGAGTTCTGTCCACATTTTTTGTTTGTTGTATAGTTGTAGCTCCATCCCAAATTATATCATCCACTATATTGAATGTATTTTCAAACAATATTATAGCTTTTAATACTAGTTGAGCCAACAAAGTACATGAGATTTTTTAGAAATACAAATTATTGTTATTTTTTTACGAACATACCTTTGACATCACCTCCAATTGTGTGGTAAAAGTTTGAACCCAATGATTGCCGCATAAAAACCAGGGTGTGGTCAGTAAGTTCTTTTTGACATATACAGTGAAAACTCTTTACAACGAAAAACTCTATATAACGTAAACATTACATAATAATGGTTGGTTTGCTATATAACCCATTAGACAATTCATTCTCTATAACGTATTAGTCACTCTCAATAACGAAACAATATTTTATGTTTCATAATACAATTTACTTGTTATCGTATCTATTACATATATAAACTATAAAAATAATCGGCAATAATGCCAAGCATTTATCGGCATTTCCTGCAAAAACGATTACATTCTTTCATTATCTACTTTTAATATCGTTATTATCGATATTTAATAGGTACCATGTTCATTTTATTATCGACGTAATGTCTAACATTATACACATGACCACAGTAGTGCGCTAACATTCGTTATGGCAAGTAAAAGAAAAGCACTGTGTGTTGATCAGAAAGTCGCTTTAATACGTGCGATTGAAAAAGGTGAAAAAAAAAGTGATGTCGGGAAACGTTTTGGTTTCAGCCCATCTACTGTCGCTACTATCTGGAAGAATAAGGATAAAATATTGCATGCTGAAACAGAAGGAAGTTCTTGTAAAAAAATAAGGAAACCGAAATTTTAAGGCTTGGACCAGGCCATGTTAACGTGGTTCCATAAACAACGTTGTAATAATGTACCTATATCTGGGCCTGTTTTGAAAACTAAAGCTGAACATTTTGCTCAACAACTTGGTATTATAGATTTCAAGGCCTCGGAAGGATGGCTTGGAAAATTTAAACAACGTCACAATATTACCTATGGGAAAATAAGCGGAGAAGCACTAAATGTCGACTTGAATGTTACTAACAGCTGGTTAATTAATGTGTGGCCAAAATTGAATGAAAAGTACACTCCGGATAATATTTTTAATGCTTATGAGACAGGTATTTTTTACAAAATGACCCCAGATAAAACATTAAAATTCAAAGGGGAAAAATGCGTGGGAGGTAAACTTTCTAAAGAACGTATCACTGCGTTTGTAGCAGCCAATATGAGTGGCACTGAAAAAAGAAAGATTATGGTAATAGGCAAATCAAAAAACCCGCGATGTTTTAAAAATATTAAACGGTTGCCAGTCACTTATAAAGCAAATAATTCAGCGTGGATGACATCAATACTTTTTGAAGAAGAAATAAGAAAATGGGATGCAGAATTAAAAGGGCGAAAAGTTTTGTTACTCGTGTATAATTGTCCTGCTCATCCCAATCTATCTAATCTTATGAACATAGAGATGATATTTTTCCCAGCTAACACAACTAGTATCTTACAGCTGATGGACCAAAGTGTTATAAAAAGTTTGAAAGGCCACTATAGAAAGAAAATATTAATGGAAATTATCGAATCTGATGGCAATGCCTCTATCAATATGCTTGATGCGGTGAACTTCTTAAGTAAAGCCTGGGAAGAGGTAACATCAGAAACTATACGGCATTCTTTTCGTTATGCTGGACTTCGAAGTTTTGCAAATGCTGAAGAAGAAATAGAACAATTTGAGAATGAAGATGATACACTGAGTGAGTGGATTACTCAGTTCAATACTCCGCATACTTTAACTCCTGAGGACCTACAAAACTATGTAGAAATATACGAGAATCTAGTTACAACAATATCGTTAACTGATGAAGAAATCCTAAATGTAGTGACAAAAGGCGAGGAGGAGCAAAAGGAAGATGAAGAGGAAGCACAACCTGACGAAGTCGTAATACCAAGTATTCAACAAGCACTTGATGCGGCTAAATTATTAGAAAAGTACTTATTGTTTCATGAAGATGATCCAAAGTTATACCAAAACATGGGAGAAATTCATAGAAAAATACAAAAACAATATTGGCAAAATAAAAAAGTCCAAACTAAGTTGACAGACTATTTTAAATGAATTATAAATATGTATAGTATAAAAATTAAATTATATTTAATAAGTATATATAATAATAATAATAATTTAATGCAATAATAATAATAATAATAATAATAATAATAATACAATAATAATAAAATAATGTAAAAATAATGATGTGTTTGATATATAATATTACATACCTTTATACATAAATAATTAAAATTTTGTTTTTTTTTTAAACCCTCTCTATTACGAAAACTCTATAACGAAAGAAATCTCTTGGTCCCTTCAGATTCGTTATAAAGAGTTTTGACTGTAGTTTCATTAACATGGTCTTCAGACGATTGTCCCCAAATGAGGATACTCCACTTTGGAATATGTCAAGAAATGTGATTCGACGAGCATTATACAAGGCATCAATCCGTAGACACACCATGCATAATTCGACAAATTTGTCATCAGTTCAATCCAATCGCCGGGTGACAAATCTGGGGGGGAGTTGTAATGGAGTAGCCTTCATCACATAAAACGATCCTTTTCGGGACAACCAATCACAACAGAGTACATACAAAAGAACACCATCGAAGGAATTTAGGGGCGAACTTGAAACCCTTCGAGTCACCTCACATCCCCAACAAGTACGGCGATGGGGGACTAGGATGAAGATAACAACACATCACCCATAGCCGTAAGTCCAAAAGTGACCCTAAAGTAATTAAACCCGTACCGACAGTAAGCATAGGCACTCATGGCGGTAAACTTGTGGTTTACTAGTCGATGCGGATCATAGTATATATACCGGGCACTTTTGGTTGTTCAATATTCATTCTTACATCAACACTGTCATCATCAATACTACAATCGTCAACATTTACAAACAGACGAACGATGAACACAGCCTTGTTACCTACGCTCCAGACCCAGCAGCGAAAATATTCGACGAACACAGCATCATTACCTAACGACCTTGCGTGAAATTACCAGCGGCTTACACGCATTTTTGAATGCACACAGTCTATCTACCATCGCGACTGATACAAAAGAGTTCTTCTTAGAGCCACAGACAGTACGAGGCTGGTGCCGTCGGTGGCACAAAAATATAATGAGTACAACGAAGGATGATAACGATTAACTGACGATGAAACGGTCAAAGCCAGAAGCATGCGACAGTCGTTTACGGGTACACAGAGGGCTATCGTCCGGTTGAAAGGCGTGCATGCCCGCCAAATGGTTGGAAAGGTTGTATAAAATTAGGTTGGATAAATGTCAGAGTAAGGCTCAAAGTCAAAGAAACAAAGTGCTTTAGATGCTTAGGATACGGACACGCAATACATGCATGCAAAGGACCAGACCGCCCGGAAGCCTGCTGCCTATGCGCTAAGAAAGGACACAAGGCATCAAGCTTCAACGCCCAACCTAGATGTGTGGCATGCCGGGACATGAAAGAACCTACAGACCACTTCCCGGTTAGAGGTAAGTGTGTGGCTTATCGTAGGGCCATGTCCGAGAATAATCTAGGTTCTAAAACCGAGGATAAGGTTGCAGCCAAAACTGGCAATGCCCTAGAAAACCAGAGAAATGCTTAAATGCATTCAGATCGACCTAAACTGCTGCAAAGCAGCTCAGGCCCTACTCCACCAGGTCACGGCCGAGGAATCGTCTGACCTTATATTGGCAAGTGAACCAAACCGAAACGAGGGTACAAACTGGCACACGGACACAACGGGTAAAGCATCAATCGTACAAGTAAAACGAATAAGACTTGACAACGAAGGCATAGGAGAAGCGGGATTTAGGTGGGTCTCAGTACACGGAATAAGGCTATGTTCGTGCTATTGGTGATCCAACTCTACGTTCGCAGGATTTGCTTGGATTTCCTAAACAGGCTGGAACGCATCATAAAAAGCGAGCGAACTGAAGCTATCATAATCAGAGATTTCAATGCCAAGCACAGAGACTGGGGATCAACGGCGAGTGAAAGGCGCGGAGAAGCTCTGGCTGACTTAATCAACGCTCTAAGCCTAGTTATCTATAATAGAGGCAACTGCAGCACTTTCAACAAAGCGAGAATAATCGACCTGAGACGTACCTGTATGGATGTGAAGCCCAGACTACAACGGTGACAACGGAAAGGAATTTAAGAACTTTTGAAAACAAGATATGGCGAAAAATATTCAGTCCATTGTTTGATGTGAATGTGGGAAGTTAGCGAAGAAGATTCAATAGAAAACTGCGGGAAATGATGAATCTGGCTCCATTAATTAACGTCGTCAACGTTCAAAGTATCCAATGGCTAGGACATATCCTAAGAAAAGAGGAAAACTACCCTGTACGGGTTGCTTTCGAGTGAAAACCTACGGGAAAACGACCAAGGAGACGTCCCAGGAAAATGTGAACCAATGGAGTGACGGAAGAAGTAAACACAATGGGCATAGTAGTTTGGCATGAAGTTGCTCAAGACAGAGAAAAGTGGCGGGATATTGTAGTGACAATTAAAACTCTTGGAGAGTAGAATGGCCAGAAGAAGAAGAAGAATTATTATTTATTACCTTATTTTGGATGCTCAATGCCGACAAACGTTTTGGTGGACTTTGGTGGACATTTTGTCTAACTCGAACGAATAGTTAGTTAAATTTTTACTTAATTGGTATGTTTTTACAAATTGTATATCAGTTAAAGCAAAAAAAGGATCTTCTTTAATGTCAAACGGTTGCCTTAAATTTTGAGCTTCTTGCCTCTCTATATTAGCAATAGCAAACATCATAGATCCTTCATCCTCGTTCACCATGTTTGTAAAAATTAACAAAAGACACTAACTCAGCAATTATTAAAGAAATCAAATTCAAATAATTTTCAAAGTGTACCTACACTCAAAAATACAATATCACCTAACAATTATCATAGTATTCTGTACTTGACATATGTGTGAGTTATATTTAATCTATGGTGATTGCAAATAACAAATCATTCGACTAAATGTTGTCGAATGCGATATAGCAGTAGACAAATTGTTGAACATTTTTCGTTTGATAAAAGTCATACATTATTTAGAGGATACCATAAACGATAAATCGATCGAGTTCTATTTTATATCGAATGCGACAAAATTCGAGAATAGGGCCCAGTCCTTAACCTAATTTAAATCGCACACTGATTTGTAACAAAGTATTTAAAAATGTAGCAGCCAATCATCTATTATAAAAACACCAGATGTTTCATTAGGTTTCATGGACTTTTTATCGAATGGCCAGTCTGATGATATGGTAAGTGTAATTACACATATAATAATTAAAAATAACATAGTTTATATATTATAGCTATCAAATACTCCTAGGCGAGTCTTTTACAGCACATTACTAAACCAAGAAGAAAATATATCTGTTAGGGAACAAAAAGTATCTAAGGTAATCGTTACTGATTTGGAAATACCTCGTATATGATAATTTTTCGATTTTGACATTTTGGTATCATTCACAATTAAGAATTTCAAGGAGAATACATTTATTTGTGGTTAAAATATAATGTGGTTACTGATATCCCGGTAAAATACGTTAGAATAATAACTTGTATCAATTGTTGATGCTTTGGATGATGACAGGTAAAATATATCTAAGTATACTAATAAAATATTATAATTATATGTAAAAATAATAGTAACAGGCATCATTATTATTTATTTTACAGGACAAAACAAATAATTGCTAATAGAAAAAGGCTTTTACCATTCGTAGAATTCATAATTTTATGTGGCAAACAAGAAATTGCTCTACGGGGACATAGGGATTTTGGCCCAATTGACTTTACATGTAAATTAATGATCTTATATTTTTTAAATAATTTGTTTATTAATTAATTTTTATTTTTTTAATATATATTATAATAGCGTTAACTAAAAATGAGGGTAATTTCCGAGAAATTTTAAAATATAAAGTAAAAGACGACGATTGTATTAGATCATTCCTTGAATCAGATTCACGTAATAAATATTTAAGCCCTAGGATACAAAATGAAATAATATCTATATGTGGTGATATATTATTAAAGAAAATTGTTGAAAAAATCAATGCATCCAAATGTTTCTCAGTCTTTGCTGATGAAACAACAGACATTTCAGTTACAGAACAACTCACAATATGTGTAAGATACTTAAGTGGAACGGGGAATGATGTACAAATCAATGAAGACTTTATCAAGTTTGTTGAGATTCAAAGTTTAACAGGAGTTGATTTAGCATCTACAATTCTTAATGGTAATTTATAATAAATATTATTATTTTAAATAATTTTTATTAAATAATTTTTTTTTTCAGGTCTCAATGTTAGTGGAATTAACTGTGATTTACAACCAATTCGAAATTGCCTTTGTCATTGAAAAATTGTATTGTTATTTTAATACACCTAAACGCAAAAATGCACTTTTTGAAACTATTAGTAATAGTGATTTGATACCAAGCATAAAATCATTAAAACGATTATGTGCAACCAGATGGATTCAAAGGTATGATGCTGTTAATGATTTTGTTCAGTTATTTCCATACGTTGTAGTTTCATTAGAAACTATGTCAAGTTGGAAAGATGTAACTGCAGTTGAAGCCAATATGTTAAAAAATGCAATGGACTCAGAATTTCTTATATCGGTACAAATTATAAAGGTAGGTACCTAATTCAATATATTAAATCATGTAGTTGAGTTAAAAATTAAATGTTTTGTAATAGGTTTTATTTTCATATGGGCTGCCATTGTGCAAACAACTACAAAGCAAAGACATTGATCTAAAAGAAATGGTTGGTTTAGCAGAAGATAATGTTAATGCTCTTAAACGACTAAGGACTAATATTGAACCTGAATTTAAAAAAATATATAATGAGGCTCAAGTAACTAATATTAATGAATAATGATTAATATATATTATGCTTATATAATATTTTAATTAATTAAAATCACCAGTTTACTTCTAAACATCATATTTATTAATACAATTAAGCGTATTTAAACTTTTTCTTTTAAATTAGAAAATGGCTGAAGTTCTAGATTTT